GAGAAAACACCCTGCTATGGTTTCTGCCCACCTGTTCTCAGTTCTTTCCTCCAAAGTAGCAGTTTTTCCTCCTGTAAAGCACAAGTACTCATTCACAGCTGTTGAATTCTCTCCCTACCTCTCTTCCACACTATGTCACCCGCATATGTGAGATACCTTTAGAGTAGGGGATTGGAACAAGTACGGGAATGGGTACTTGAACTTTATTTCACACTTTATTTCAAGATGATACTGTGTGGGAGTACTGAAGAGGTTGACTGAATTGGTAGTTGACAAAACATCTGAGATGGCTTGTTTGGAAGGGCAGACCAAGAGAAGAGTCTGACTGAAGCAGGATATGTTTAGAGACTAGTCTTCTGCATTTGTATGGAATCACTATCCATTTCAGTTTGTTCCAAATGAACATGATACGGCTAAGATTACGTAAATGGATATTTTTTTTTTTGTCGTGTCAGGAGCGACTTGAGAAACTGCAAGTCGCTTCTGATGTGAGAGAATTGGCCGTCTGCAAGGACGTTGCTCAGGGGACGCCCGGATGACTTGATGTTTTTATCATCCTTGTGGGAGGCTTCTCTCATGTCTCTGCATGAGGAGCTGGAGCTGATAGAGGGAGCTCATCCGCCTCTCCCCAGATTCGAACCTGTGACTTGTTGGTCTTCAGTCCTGCCAGTACAGGGCTTTAACCCACTGTGCCACCAGGGCTCCTATGTAAATGGATGAGGAATTTGGATTGGTAGACATTGGTTTTGTATTATTTTTATAGTTTTTAATGGATTTTATGTGTATTTATGATGGTTTTTAATTGTTTTTATTGATATATATTTCTATATGGCATCTAATTGTTGCCAATCTGTACGCCACCCTGAATCGCCTTCGGGCTGAAATGGGCGGGATAAAAATGTTGTAAATAAATAAATAAGCCCCCGTTTTAATTTTCGAGCGCCTCTTCCGAAAATGGGCACCTTTCTGGGTCCGAAAGAACAAAACATTTCGAACCATTGGCCAACATGGGTGGTCATCCCAGGCTCCCCCTTCCCTCTGTTTTAGGGCTAGAGGGGTGAAAATTGCCACACAAGGAAGGGTGCACATCTACCACTCTTAGCCCACCAAGTTGTATAATGTTTGGATCATCCCTCGATTTTTTAGGATTTTTTTTCTTTCTGTAAATAAAATCCCCTTAAAACATTCCCTCTTTCCCCCTCTGGCTCCACTGTCTAACTTCAGGGCTTAAGATACCACTGGTTCTGAGACGTTTTCCTCTCCATCCGCAGAGGAGACCCAGGGTTAAAGGCAGGGCGTAAGATACCAGTATTTCTGTGATTCTTTCCCCTCAGTCTGCAGAGTGGCCGAGGGTGAGGCGAGGCAGGCAAGGCTGGGGGCATTCTTATCTTACTAGCTGTACCCACCACGTGTTGTTGTGGCCAACCTCTTTCTCTTCTCCTTTCTTTCCTTCCTTCCTTTCTTCCGTCCTTCCCTTCCCTTCTCTTCTGTTCCTTCTCTCCTTCCTTCCTTCTCTTCCGTTCCTTTCTCCCCCTTTTTTCCCTCATCTCTTTCTCCCTTCTTCCTTCTCTACCTGTTCTTGCACTACAACTCCCAGCAGTCCTCCTGATCAACCTATCTACCTACCTATCTTTATCTAATCTATCTATCCTATCTATCTGGAGGATTGCTGGGAGTTGCAATCCAGTAATAGGAAATCAGAAATATGCAGGGATTGGGGTGCCTTCAAAAAAATCCAAGAAGAAAGCTTGAATCTTAGAAGCAGTGCATTTGGATCATCCTCCTTTCCTAAAGGGCCTGTTCCAGGGGATGCTGGGAGCTGTAGTCCGGAAGAGAATGTGGATATGCAATTGTGTGCTTTGCTTGCCAGGGGGGAGTCATTTCTGCACATGCACTGTAGTGTCTTATTGCTATTTTGGCTTTTTTAATCCCTTCTGTTGTGTTTTTCAGTGTTTTTATGAGTGATGGTCACTCGTTGGCCTGATAGATGTCTTGTGTCCAAATTTCATCTCAATTCATCCAGTGGTTTTTGAGTTATGTTAATCCCACAAACGAGTATTACATTTTTATTTATATACACTCGCCATCCCCTGCCACACGTTGCTGTGGCCCAGTTTGTGTATATGTGTTTTGTGTGTATATATATTTGTGTATATGTGTGTTTGCATATATATCTGTGTGTGTGGTTTTGCGCATGCTTTGTAATGGGTTTTTTTTTGCTTTTTAAGTCTCTTCCACTGTGTTTTTTTAGTGTTTTATGAGGGATGGTCACTTGTTGGCCTGATAGGTGCATTGTGTCCAAATTTGATGTCCATTCGTCCAGTGGTTTTTGAGTTATGTTAATCTCACAAACGAACATTACATTTTTATTTATATAGATTGGTCTAACAGGCAGGCTCAGAAGTAAATAAATAACATACGACAATGTGAGGAGTGCCACATGACCTGAAAATAAGGTGAATGGATGGGAACAATTCACACTTTCTTTCATTTCGGGCCTATTTTCGTACCATAGGGGGCATTGCCATTTAGTGCAAAATGAATGAAACAAAGGGAAGGAAACAACAAAAGAAACAAATACTGCACACATTACTATTAGAGATCAGAAGTTCATGATGATGGTGGTTGTCATTTTGTTTCTGCTAGTTCAAGGGCTTATAAAGCAACAGAATCCACTTTGAGTCACATCTGTGGGAGAAAAATGGCATAAAAGTAAATAATAATAATAATAATAACAACAACAACAACAACAACAACAACAGTCTGTTGCAGCCCTCCATAGGTTTGTACATCAGTAATAATAAAAATTTCAAAATGAGAACATCAAACATTAACCCTGCATTAGTAACAGTCAACAGTCAAGTAACAGTCAAGTCACTTGTTTTGATGACTTGAGGCCAGGTTAATTGGTAAATGTAACTTATGATGAAGGTGTGTGTGGCTGCTGTGTTCAGAAGCAGAACCGCACTAAATGCCAGATGCTGATGGTAGGCAGCCAGCAGGGAGGAAACAGTCGGGAAGACCTATTAATTTTCTATGCTGCTTGTGGGTAACTAGTTGGCAACAATGGGAAGCCTTTGGTTTGATCAAAGAAAGCTGTTAGGATATTGATCAGATGTTCTACATCTGTTGGTGCCACACATGGAGAAAGGCGGGTTCAGCTATTACACGTGTTCTCAACATATTTTCCTTGTCCAGTTTACATTTTGGAATGTTAGATGCTATTTTTTTAAATGAGGGAGAATGTAACTATCAATCGTTTCATATCGCTGTTGCTAAACTTCCCCCGTCATACATCTGCTGTGCCTTGAAAATATGTTTGCTGAGAACGAACACTGTGAAGTTCTCATTTGCAAGTCATCCTTGCAAATGAGAGAAGCGGAGTCATTCATGCTTGTTGAATTCACCCCCTCCTCCCCTCCAATTCACTGTCTTCTTTCACACCTTTCATTTAGGATGGCTCACATCTTTTCGATGAGTTAAGGGGGTGCAGAGCATAGATCAAGGCGTCTTGAGAGGAATCTCAAAGCAAGATGACTTGTAGTGCCACACTCAACTGCAGTGTTTATTGAATGAGCTCAGTAGAGCATCCTTCTTGTGCCATTGAGTCTGGTGATAATTATCATTTCATTATTGCCAAATGCTGTCTTTTCTTTGTAATGTACAGTTTTTACCAAGGAGCTAAGCTTTGACATAGAAAATGGAGATTGAGTAGTTTTCTCTGTCACTGAAGAAGAAAGTAATAGACACATCATCTATTTCAACCTGTCATGATGCCAGGGCTCTGCCTTATTCAGGTAGAGATGAACCAAACAATCACCCAGTTTGTGTTAAACAATTTAATTAAAACAGCACTTACTTTCTGGCTGTTTTAATAGTCCAAAACATAAATCATAAAGATAACACTCAGCTACAAAATATAAAACTAAACTGTCAGCAAACACTGTTGCAGGTTCAAGATAACACAGTAGTCAAAAGGTCCAGTCAAACGACGAGCATTCAATGAGCAAAGTCCAGGGATCAAGAGTCTATACTATAGTCAGAATCCAGTCCAGAGATTCAAGGTTCCAGGGTTCCAGGAGAACAGGAGACAAGGTCAAGATATCAAAAAAAACCACAAACCTGGGGGAAAACCATTATTATTACATGTTATTTTTTACTCTGTTATTATTGGTAATAGGTAAGCACATTTACATTGAAGGAAGTTAAAATGATGGTTTAATCAGAGTTGGGCAATCTTATTTTAAATTACAGTTTTATGTAAGTACTCAAAAACATTTAATCTACTAATGATTACTGGTAGCAACTACATTTCTCACCTTCAGCTTATACTCGCATCAATATGTTTTTCCAGTTTTTTATGGTAAAATTAGGTGCCTCAGCTTATATTCGGGTCAGCTTATACTTGAGTATATATGGTACATTCTTCAGCAGAGACATCCCTGTAGGAGCATGGCTTTGCAGAACATAGTTAAAGCATGGCAGCAAGGGACACCTTACTATCCACTGGGAAGAGTGATATACTCTATGCCAGATGAGCACGTACTCTTCTGCTGTGGAAAAATTGAATATCCTTGCCTTCAAGGCAGGTTCTCTTCCTGAGGATAGCCTGCTCACCTCCTGAGTTGAGATAGCTTTACGGTGGTTTGTTTGGCACTCCATGGCTTATATCTTTAAGTTGTAATTTATTATTTGGATCTGGTATTTTCTGTACCTATAACTCTGCAAAGGTATCCTCCCATGCTGACTTGAAAATTATTCTAATCTGTTTGTCCTTCCTAATGGTCCATGAGGCAAGATATCCTCTGTCCGCTGGAGAAAAAGGAACGTTGATATGACTACCAGTTGATATGACTACCAGCATTCCATCCTTCATATACAAAAAAGCTATATTCAGTTCTGCAAATTGTTTTCATAAGAAAAGGCTATGGAGTTTGATTTATTTTTCTGAAATTCTAAGAGTTGTTTTCAGAGTTGCGTGTCTTTTCCCCTTCTCTTAGAATGAGGAAGTAAGGTTCATTGAAAATGAACTGGAGCATCAGAAACAGAAATATTTTGAACTGCAAGCGTTCACTCGGAGTTTGATACTTGCTATTAAAACGGATGATAAAGAACAGCAGCAGGTAAGGAAGTGCAACGAGTAAGCCCTGGACAGCTTTTGTCATTTGCCCTGCCTTCTCTTTTTGCCACTTATCAGGACACATGGATGTTCCATTAGTCATGTGAAGATTGTGTATTTACTGCCTTTTTCATTTTAGTGGTAATATATGTGAATATTATATGCAGTGAAACCAATTATAAAAGTTGAAGAACTAGCAAGTCATACAAAGAATAAATAAAAGCAGTATTTATTGATTTATTTACAACATTTCTATCCCATTCTTTTCACCACGCAGGGGACTCAGAGTGGCATACAAACTTTAAACAGAACATATATCAGCAAACATTCAATGCCGTTATACAATTGACAGGACAAACAATACATAAACAGAGGTATAGGGCCGAGCTTTAGCACAGTAGGTTAACCACCAGCTGCAGTAAATCTCGCAAATCAAATGGTTGACAGTTCAAAGCCTGGGTCAGGGTGAGCTCCTGGTATTTAGCCTAGCTAGCAGTTTGAAAGCAAAGTGAGTAGATAAATAGGTACCATTATAAAATGGGGAGGTATTTAAGGCACCCATAAGGAAATGCCAGAAAAATGCCGGCATTTTGATCAAGGAGGAAGTTTATGAACAAAGCTCTTTGGCAGGGAAGATAAAGTGACAGTACCTCCCGTGGCCAGAACCAAGCAAAATTCTCCAAGATGCCAAAGATGGGAAAGCCTATATATACCTCTATCTATGTACAGTTGTCTGTCTTGTCAGTATATAACAGCATTGAATGTCTGCTGTATATGTGTTCTGTGATCCGCTCTGAGTCCCTTTTGGGGTGAGAAGGGCAGAATATAAATACTGCAAATAAATAAATAGGCTCTTTTCTATCTCTGTCATGTGGAGGCTGTGCTCGATTCTGGCCACAGATGTGTGTGTGTGTGTGTGTGCGTGTGTACTGTCGCTCCATCTTCCATGTCAAGGAACGTTTTTGTTGGTCATAGATGCCTCCTGATATTATTTTTTTTGAGATACATTTTTATTGTACACAAAAAAAACATTTTATATATACATAAAAAGTGGGGGAACACTGGGTTATTAAGAAAGTAGGAAAAGAGATAGGAGAAGAAACTAAAAACTGAAATTGGAAAAAAAGCCGAAGTTGAAATTAACTTTGAAAGAAAAAACATGGAGAAGGGGTGAAAAGATCCGTTGACTTCAATTCTGTGCTTTCGCCGTAGTCATTTGTAAAAATAATTTTAAGTTATTTTTAAAATTATAGCTGTGATCTTCTTGCTCTATAACTTTATATAATGTAAAGAAAAAGGGAAAAACAGACAACCAAAAAAAGAAAAATATGAATTAAAAAGTCATTGTTGAGTACTGTCTCCCTGTTTCTTCTCTTTTTCATATTCCTCAAAAAGGGACCAGTAAGTCCTTTTTATTGGGCTTCCCGAGTTAATCTTTAAAAAAAACCACGTTAGTTTATCCATATCTCTAATTTCTCTTAATTTATTTTTCCATGTCGATGAACTTTTAATTCCATCTTCCATGTCGAGGAATTTTTTTGTTGGCCACAGGTGCCTTCTGATCGAATAGTCGGTATGTCCTTTATGGATGTCTTTATTACTTCCCCACTTTTAAAGTGGTACCTATTTATCTACTCACATTGCTGTTTTCGATCCACTAGGTGGGTAGAAGCTGGGCTCACCCCGACCAGAGCTTGAACTGCCAACCTTTCAATTGGCAAGATTTACTGCAGCTGGTGGTTAGCCTGCTGTGCTAAAGCCCGGCTTTGCAAACAATTATTAAGACACCAATTCCTGGCAAAGCTGCAGCACTGCAAAGTGATGAATATTAATTCCTTTTCCTCCATCAGGGAATACAGTCATGTTCGTTCCCCCAACATGAACCTGCATAGCACTAGCAATAAAATCTGAGCCATACTACATAGTTCTTTCTGTTTCAACAGAAATTTTAGTACATTTGAGGCTGGAGTAACATGTATTTATGTTTTGTATCTAACTCAGGCACTCCTAGCAGATTTACCTCCAGAGTTAGAAGACATGGACTTCAATCATGCATCTCCAGGACCTGATGATACCTCATTTAGTTTGTCTTCTTCATCAGAGAAAAATGCCTTGGACAGTTTCTGACCTTTTGACACAAACACTCACGAGACAACATAGTTTGCTCAACATGTATGTTTTGAATGAATTTGCTAGCCAGTACCCTTAAAAATATGTAAGGGAAAGGTTGAGGTGGGAAGAGAGACTTCTATAGCGGTGTGATTGATGGTAGCTACACATTCTGGATTTTATTTTTTAACAAATGTGAAATTTACTTGACAAACATGAGTTAGGCTTCTAGCAGTGATGCCTTGATGATGGTACCTTTCTGCTAACAGTGGTTCGGTAAGGAATTCCTGATCTAAGCAGGATTCTGAAAATAGAAGAAAAGTAGCAAATCGTGATAATAATTCTACCGTATCTTCCAATTCTAGCCCACCAGTCTTGTTCGTTGTGATACATTGCCTTTTATTCTTTCCCCATTTCTCAGGTAGGTGGACTGAACATTGGGAATGATGGGCTTCAGGAGATAATTAAATAAAATTAAATCTTCATGGAAAAATATGATCATTCAATCCAGGGATTGGGCTAAAGACGTTTTTTCGCTTTTACTGTATGTAACAACAAATCCTTGCATCTTTGCTCTTCTTCACCTTCTTGAAGGATCCTTGGAAACATAAACCTATCTATTCTAATGACTTCCAATGACATATTCTGTGTACAACAATGGGGTGTAAATTCTGAATGAAAATAATATCAGCCCCTAAGAGAAATGCTTGTTTGTTCAGTACTTCAGGGACTTCATCCATTGTCTTCCCTCTGTACATCATGGGAATGCATGGCAATACCTTTGGTAGAAAGGCCACAAATATAGGTGTACTTAGTTCTAAAAGTGTAATGGGCTCATGTGGCTTATTCAGAAGCCACGACTCCATGGCCAAGTCTCAGCTGAACGCTGCTCAGGAATAGATCTTGTAGTTTAAGCTGAAATGTTCTCCTTGTCTAAAATATTCAGTCCGAAGAAGCAAGGAAGAACTGAGGAAATAGAAGCACAGGTGTCTACCCCAAGAGACAAAGGGGTGTCCTTGATTAAGGACGTCGACACAGAAAGTACTTCCGGCATTATAAATTGGAACTGCTTGATTCAGGTAGGGAATAGGATAAACCGGATTTGGCATATGGGGTTGCCAATGTAAACATAATTGTGGAGTCCAGATTCACTTTCTTCAATGTCTTACTGTTGGGTAATCTGAGCTGTTAGGCTCAAAAATAACTCTCAGATGGGGTGATTCCACCATAAATATAGCAGAAGTAAACTTCATAACCAGCGGAAACGTATATGTGGTGAAATTGGGCTAAGCTTCTATTCCTTAGCATGGCACAGGATTGCAGAGTCAGAACTTTAGGTTCAATTTTGAAATAAAAGAAATACTAAATAGAAAAGGGCTTGGAGATAACTAGCTTACTAAATCTTATCTTCTAAAGAAAGGCAAAAAATCCTTGCAGCTACATTTTGTCTAAAGAGAGAGACAAAATGTGTCCTCACTGGAAGGAAGAAAAGCAGAAGAGAACAATGCTGGGAGACCACATGATCAATCTGTGAGGAAGTTCTCTCACGGAATTCCATTCCTGTATCATGAAAGAGAGGGAGGAGACAGTGGCTAGGAAGAGGAGTAAAGACAAAGCCTCAGCTTTATCCTATCTCTAGTCTAGCTACTCATTGAGGACTGGAAACATGATGACGCAAGAGATTTGTGCAGTCCAGGGATGAAACCCAACACTTTCACAGTCAGAAGCCAAGGCAGAATCAAGCTTGGTGGCAGATGCACTGCAGCCATACAGGTCTGTTGTGTGGATCAGAATCTCACTGTGTGTCATATGAACCTTGGGTTGAACAGAGCATCAGTTGCCTGTTTCCCTCTGTTTTTAAACCAGTGCTCAGGACTGATAGTATGGGCTTCGGGATTTTGATCTACGATTATGTCCTAGGTCCTTCATTGGATTAGGAAAACATCACATAGTTATGTGTATGGTTTGCTGTCCCATAAAAGTATAATACAAGTAAGCGCTGTAGCTGAAACCTTGTAGCACACAAAGAGGCACTGTCTTGAATCTTCCTTTAGAATCATAATTTCTCTTTCCAAACAGCTGTGAAAAACTGTCACCCTACTCCTGACACACTTGCTGTGTTGTTCTTCAAAGCCCTGTTGTACTTTTTTTGCTTTGTTCATTGTTGCTTCTCCGTATACTCCTTCTCTCTTCCCAAGGCAGCTTTCCCAGCTGTCTTGTCCCCATTTGAAAGTGAAAAAAGAAATGCAGTTAGTAGTCTTGGGCATTTGTACAGAATTATTATCCGTTTTGGTTTGTTTCATTTGTAAGGACCCATTTTCGTTTTTGAGCCACTCTCCCAAAAACGGGAGCCTTTCTGAATGAGCTTTTCCATCCGAGGTCTGGAAAAATGAATATTTTTCAGCCCATTGGCAGCAAAGTGCCAGGGCCTACAGCTGAGCGTTCTGAGCACTGAGTGCCTGGTGCACTTGGTGCACTTGGCTGTAGGGTTATGGTTAGACAAGTAAACCCAGTGGCACGCCTTGGCAGGACTTACAGCCGAGCGCTGAGCGCCAAATAAGAGGCACTCAACACTCAGCTGTAGACCCTGCCAGGGCCTACACCCGAGCGCCGAAAATCAGCCAACGGAACGGTTACTGTTCCCACTAACCTTTTGTTTCACCATTTTTTTCCAAACTGGGGGTGGGGGGTGTTCCGTTTTATGCCATCCAAATGAACGGTGTAAAACAAAAACACGAAAGAAGCGAATGAGACAAATACCAGTCCCATGACTAGAAATTAGGATTCCTCTTCCTTACACTTTATGTCCTCTGCAGTTATATACAGGACACATGGCCGATGCTATGTGACTCGAAATCCTTTCAGATAGCAGATAATTTCAGTTGTGTGGATTGTGTGCCATGGAAGTATTTTAGGGATCTGCTGGTAATCTCTGGACAAGACACAGTAGATCAGTAAGGATTTCTGATTTCCAACTATTGAACGTGTGTTGTTGCATGCCTTGCCTTGAAGTCATTTCTGACCTTTGGCAAGCCTACAGTGAATGGGGTTTTCTTGCAGAAGTTATTCAGAGGGTTTGCCCTTGCCTTCTTCAGAGGCCGAGAGAGTGTGGTTTGGCCAGTGGGTCTTATGGCTGGACGGAGACTCAAACCCTGCCCTCCCAGTGTCCCAGTCTAACCCTCAAACCACTGCGTGCAACACATTTGAGGTGCTGATGAAACAAAGCTTGGAAGCAAAGTAGTGGAGTTGTGTGTGAAGTGATTGTGCATTAGTTCAGTTTTGATATGTAGGCTGAGAATGTCTTCTTTAATTCTAAATGCATGTCCTTCCTACCTGACTTGCATAATGAGAAACAAAGCCTAGTGTCGGCCCAGCCGTACTGTAGGATAATGTAGATTTGGCCTGCAAAAAGATCTCAGTGGAGAGAACCTCTTATTCTGTGTATGATTTCAGTTTGATTAGCATAATGCAACACTGGGTTTATTTGTCCAAATGAATTAATCGGACCATTATCTGTAGGATGTGTCCAGGATTCTCACAGTTTCCTTTCCACTGTAAGGCTTGTTTTTGCTATCCCAGTTTTCGGAAGATAACTGGAGTGTTGTCAAAGGCTTTCATGGCTGGAATCACTGGGTTGCTGTGAGTTTTCCGGGCTCTATGTTCCGGAAGCATTCTCTCCTGACATTACGCCCACATCTATGGCAAGAGGTTGTGAAGTCTGCTGGAAACTAGGCAAGTCGGGTACCTAGAAAGCTCTGTTTTTAAGTCCCCAAGTGATGAATTTCAGTTAATAACTCCCTTCAAAATTCCTTCTGCTGCCTAACTGCATTCAGTGTGCTGTATATTGAATGACGTTTGCAATAAGGGAGCAGATCATAGGAATGTCTCAAGTGGCTGGTCTTTGCCCACTAAAGCGCTAATCTCCAGTCTTTGAGAGCTAGGGCTGTTTCCACAATGTGAAGCCACATTTACAGTTAGTTTTGCTGCTTCGTTTTCGAAATTTAGGTCTCCTATATCTTTAAATAGTTCTGTTTTGGTGCAGTCAGCATGGTGAATTGGGTGAGAAAAGCCCATTGTGTTGAACTTCTTTTTTTCTATGCAACTCTTGATAGTTTGGGAGACCTTGTTTCCTCATCACTTTTTCTTATTATGTCTTGCTCTTGAAAAGAGACACAGACTGTGGCAATACCATTACCAGGTCTGCTTTTCTAGCCATGCTTGGATCCTTTTCTAGCATTTGAACCTAAATATGTCATGCAATCACCAAAACATTCTAATTGAGATCAGGAGAGGGCAAAGTGTGGACCATGGGATTCCCAAGTTTTTTTTTTATTGCGTCGGAAGCAACTGGAGAAACTTCAAGTTGTTTCTGGTGTAAGAGAATTGGCCATCTGCAGAGGTCATAGAATCATAGAGTTGGAAGAGACCTCATGGGCCATCCAGTCCAACCCCATTCTACCAAGAAGCAGGAAAATTGCATTCAGAGCACCCCCGACAGATGGCCATCCAGCCTCTGTTTAAAAGCTTCCAAAGAAGGAGCCTCCACTACACTCTAGGGCAGAGAGTTCCACTGTTGAACGGCTCTCACAGTCAGGAAGTTCTTCCTAATGTTCAGATGGAATCTCCTTTCTTGTAGTTTGAAGCCATTGTTCTGCATCCTACTCTCCAGGGCAGCAGGAAACAAGCTTGCTCCCTCCTCCTTATGACTTCCTCTCACGTATTTATACATGGCTATCATGTCTCCTCTCAGCCTTCTCTTCTTCAGACTAAACATGCCCAGCACTTTAAGCTGCTCCTCATAGAGCTTGTTCTTTAGACCCTTGATCATTTTAGTTGCCCTCCTCTGGACACATTCCAGCTTGTCAATATCTCTCTTCAGTTGTGGTGCCCAGAATTGGACACCATATTCCAGGTGTGGTCTAACCAAGGCAGAATAGAGGAGTAGCATGACTTCTCTAGATCTAGACACTAGACTCCTATTTATGCGGGCCAAAATCCCATTGGCTTTTTTTGCTGCCACATCACATTGTTGGCTCATGTTTAACTTGTTATCCATTAGGACTCCAAGATCTTTTTCACACGTACTACTCTCGAGCCATGCGTCCCCATTCTGTATCTTTGCATTTCATTTTTTCTGCCTAAATGAAGTATCTTGCATTTGTTCCTGTTGCCCAGGGGATGCCCGGATGTGTTTCCATCCTGTGGGAGGCATCTCTCATGTTCCCGCATGCGAATTTGGGGCTGGATTCCCAAGTGCAACCCTTTGTAAAGCCATATTGACCCAAATGGCAGTTACAAATGATGTTCATCACTTCAGGTGCACCAGAAGCGTGAACCTACCAGGAGACATTGTATGGAAAAATGACTGTTCCCTATGCAGTTGCCCATCTCTTGCCTAGATAGTATTTGCAGCGGGATGGATGTGTTCTTTGAAAAGCAGGGGCAAAAGACTGTATTTGAGTATTGGAACCATTGTTGGCTATGAGCAATACA